GAGGGCCTTTCCATCAACGAAAAAATCATATACAGGATTACAAAATGTGCTTATTTTCGCCTTCATCACAGTGCCTGCACAACTATTCATCTTTTCCTTCAAATCCTCGCTACTGAACTGAAAAAATCATCATTTTAATCGCTCTGATTGTGTTACAATGCTTCGAAAAGGTAAATTTTTTTCGGTGTTTACAAGTGCTTTAAGGATTCATCATTTCCAATGCACTGAAGGTCATCCATCTTCCTGATAATATTTACTACTTCGGCTATTCCAGCGGGCGTAGCGAATTTTCGCATTAAAGGAGACTTCGAAATTTATTTTCCCTTAAAGTCTTAATTGAAAAATGTGCTACGGTTGTACACATTAAGTACTTCTGCTAGTGTTATTTTTTAATTTTGCTATTTTGATGAAACAAACAATATCTTTGAATTTATAGTTTTTCTAATATATTTAATCCTGCTTTATCTTCATAATAATGCACACTTTAAATTTTTCATGGCCATAAAATAACCGTTTTATTCATTCACCAGAAGGGTTTTATAGAATAGAAAATTGCTAATAATTAATGATATTTTAAAATATTAATATGTAATGCTGTTTTCATTCTGTACTGGTTTTTAAAAATGTAGCGTGTTTTTAGGAAAACGGAAGCTTAAAAATTTATAGTACTAGAAATTTTAATTTTAATAATCATGTTTAATAAATTATGTAAAAAATTTTAGGATTTATTAATTATTTTATTTAGGGAAGGTTATTAAATTTGAATATGATTAATCATTAAATTCTTGCATTAATCTCAAATTTTGTAGAATTAATATTAACAATTTTAAAATTACTTTGAGGATGAAATTAATGTTGATAACTTTCTAATTATTTTGAGAATGAAGTGAATATGAAAACTAGATGGCATAATTTTGAATATTAATACAGAAAATGATCTAAATTTACGTTTTGATTATAAAGCAGAAAATATAAAATGTCTCGGTATTGAATATTATTGTAATGAATCTCAGAAAAGTTAAGGATTTAAAAAACTGAACGTGGATAATAAAAATTGAAATTAATAAAGAAAAGTAATTTGAACTTATGGAAATTAATGTTTTAATTAAAATGTAAATGCATGTAAAGACAGAGTATGTTGAGGTAGTAGTGGTTCAGGATCAGAGGCCCATTTTTACCTCTGAAATATTGTTGCTTTTATCCTCTTCATACTAGAACTCTCATTTTATTTTACAATGCAATATTTTTTCCTTTTATACAGAATTAATTCATTTAAATATTTAATGAAATGTTTTAGTGCTGTTTTCACTTATGTAAGGAACTGAGGCCTTTACAATTAACTACTGAGCATTCCATTAACCACTAGTGAATTAACACATCAGTCAGTTAATGTCGATATGACCAATTAGATAGACAGTTTAGCTTTGACGAATTGCTTGATCTTCCAATTTAGTAAAATAAAGGATTAGGAATGAAATATAATAACAATGAAATCATAATTTCAGCAAGAATGCTACTATATAGAGTCATCAGGATTCAATGGAACAGATAACGGCAAAGCTTAAATAGCGCCGCAACCCACCGGAGCCCTAAATAAGAAGGCTCCCGCACCTTCTTTATTGTAACTGAACAGCAATTTCAGCAGAAATATGATATCTAAAATTTTATTTTTAATTATTAAAAATTGATTCTAACTTCTGAATGCATGCCTCTCGGTCCTTGGGAAACAAACCCTTGGATTGAGGTCGAGACTTTTCAGGAAAGAAAAGCCCCCACCCATATGTCAAAGGCTTATTCTCAGAACAATGAATTTATGACGGGGGGGGTAAATTTTTCGTTCTAGCTCTAGTGCCTTCCCATGGAAAAGAGCACCTGCAGACTTCTTGAAACGATGTAACCAAAGGCAGGGAATCAGAATTGTCACTTGTTACTCTTTTTTCAGCTAACTCTCGGATTTGGTGAAAATTTGCTCCCCCTATCATATTCTACTTGATAGCTAGAATTATACTGAGAGGTGATCGTGATCAGAAATGTTGGATTCTTCACTTTTTGCTTTCATAACTACAAGTTATCAGTTAAAATTTTCTCTATACTCTTTTACTGTTTATAAAATTCTCTGTATTTTCATTACTGGCGCTTTAATCATTTTAAAATTTTTCATTGGGTGCTGGAAAAAGAATACTCTTTATATCTGTCGCCCCTTGAAGTAACACATTATATTCAGAACTTAAATTAAACCGAAAATTCTTTTATTTATTTATTTATTTATTTATTTTTGGTGGGAAATTGTAATTCCAGCCGAAACCTCAAATAAATCTCTTATTATTTAATTATTTACCATTTATTTAATAACTTATTATATTGTTATTTAGCCGCCCAACCGGTATAGTGGTTAGTGTCGCTGACTGCCGTTCCGAAAGACTCGGGTTCGAATCCCCGAGAAGGCATGGATGTTTGTAAATGTATAGTATCCGTATGGCATGGAGGCACTCTAAATATGCGGCGAGCCGAAAGTCCTCTTGAGAGGCTGACGGTAAAGGAAGAGGTATGGGAGACTCTCGGACCCGTCCCTCCGTGGTGCTCCCCATCAAAATTGGGGGCAGAACTGAGCTAAATCGCGCTGTCACCTGTAAGATGCTCAAGGCTGTTGCCAACGACAGGCGTAAACTAGCGTTCTTTGCCACGAGAAATTTCGTGGGCTTGGCCTGACTATAGGTCAGACAAGTGAGCATTAGCAACATCAACAACATATTTTTATTTATCTCTTTATGTTTTATTAAATTTTAACATTAAGTGTTTAATTATTCTAATAATTAATTATTTGATTATTAATTATTTTACTTGTCATTTTATTTATTTATTTATTTTTGTTCTTCTCTTCTGACAGTCTTCCATAAGGCTTCGGCACTTCTAACTTTAGAAATTAAGCCCAGGTGTGCCGGAAACAAGCCGGGTGTGCTTCCCAATTACACCATGAAAGCCCGCGATAAATGTTAACGCCCACTGAAAGAGCGGCTGGGGAGGAGAGGACACAATCGATGACGAATTATTGTCCACCGCTTTTTAGTTTTCGGTGCCTTTTGTAAAGTCATTGGAATTTTTTTAGAACAGAAAACGTTGAAAAATAGGCAATACTGTCACCGGAATTTAATGCTGGACTTTCTGACTGCCAGCCGGACGGGCTTTACAATTACTCCAAAAATGAAAAAGGAAGGGCGTGAGAAAAAACTTAATAACTGTCTTTATAATGTTAAAAGGCAAGTTATAAATATGAAAATTAGAGTGTTAAATTTTTTAGATTTATTATGATTAATCAAGATAAGTAACAGGTGAATAAAATTTTTATATTTTGGATAATCTATGGAAAGCTTTGAAAAGAACTGTGATTATGTTGATTGTAAAACACGAAGACTTCTATTCTGAATACTGAGCATTTTAATGACTAAAAATTGCATTTATTTTCAAAAATGCTATATTCAAAACTTATAATTTGAAATTATTTTAAAATATTATTTTTGGTCAAAGTTTTAAAGATCTGTATTTTTCAAATTGTATTTCTTCTTCATTTGCTAATCATTTAACAATTTTTCTCTAAATGGCTTTTCTGACGCTAAGCCTTCTTCTATTTGAAGGAGGGAATGTGTCAGATAAAAAATATGTGAATCAAAGTTCTAACTTAAATTTGCAATATCCTCATACTCCTTCACTTTATTTGGCTGTTTCCTCTTTCTGTACTAAAAATAGTTACTGTTTATAATGAATTTCTCAAAACTGTGTCATCTTCGAATCTGCCATTTCATATGACTTTTATATAATGCTGGCTATGTTTTGTGAACTAGAACTCAACCAGTTAATAATAATTTTAGACCACTATTAATAAGGCAGTCAAATGATATAGAAATCGAAACTAATTCACTCTAAGTCCTGAATACATCACACTTTGCTTCTGATTCTACAAGACCTGCTATTGCTTGCTATCTTCAAAATTAATCTCTTTAAAATGCAACAGCATCGATTTAAGGACCTAAAAAAAACAGGCGCTGTGAGATCCAATAATTTATATATTGGCTTACTGAAATGCTTGGTCAACTAAATAAAAAGGAATGTTGCAATCTGCCTGGACTGCCAGTTTGTTCTTTGTTACGCATCTTCAATGCATCTAAATTATTACCTATCTTCAACGAATCTATCTATCTATCTATATATATATAAATGAGTTTTACTGAATAATAAAAAATAACTATGAAATCCCTAGAGTTAAGTCGACTGCTTTTGCTGCTTACTATCTTAATGGTGAACTGCGTATTTTTCTAAGTACTGAGTATTGAATACACTAATATAATTCAATAGGTAAAGCTCTGTGAGCTATTCGATAAAATGTGTATACCAATACTTTTAATTCTTTTTACTCACTTCAAAAAGAATATACGGAATATTGTTATTAATAGTATGAAAACAATTTATGTTATGCTACAAAAAAGAACAGGTTAATTAAATATCTATAGCATGTACATATTTTATCATAGCAAAAGCTAGTAATGTCATCTTCGGATTATTCGCTGGGGGAAAAGGGGGAAGAGAAGGAGACTCAAGGGTGTTCCCACCCTAAGGGAGAAGGAGAAGAGAGATGGAGGAGAAAGAGTCTCTCTGACTGAGCGGCTGCATCCATGATGCTCTGCGCGACCTTCTCGGTTGTCTTTGCTGCAGTGTGAGTTTAGCCTTTCCACCATGCTCTCCCTCTGGTACCTTGCCTACATCATTAAAGGGTAAGGTATTTAATTTACTTTGCGCGTTAATTAAACCTTAGTTTAATGTAATAAGCGATAACTCTTCGTTTGAAAGCTGTATTAATAAAAATGGGAATGTGTTCAAGCTTTTGACAAAATAAATACCAATCGATTATGCGGGATGGAGCGCTGCAAACGGAACGGCTGTCTTTTTTTTGAAGCCGGCACGACACGTGCTGTGTGTATATTTAACTTTCTTGGTGGTGTTCCTCTAGTTAATCAAATAAAAGCTATCACCTGTTGGAATTATAAAATCTAACACTTTTAATTCGCAAATTCATTATTTAACGGTCATCTTTTAAATCATAATCTTAAAAATTTACAAGAATGAAAATAAATCAATAGATATGAAAAACCTATTGTATTACTCTCCTCTGCGCTGAAATTATTTAACAACAGAAGCTTAAAAAGAGACTCTTGCCTATTGGTTCTGTAATTCTTTTTAAAGCTCTGCCAACAACGCCCTGTCTGCATATAAATCTAGTGCATGATATAACTTACACGCGTTCTCTACTGTCTTAGTTTCTACTGCTGGGTTACAACTGTGTAGAAGATAGATAAAGAGGGATAAGGAGTGTAAACCTACAAAATTAAGGACTTTGGATAGTAAGGATAAATTATTTATCAGTCAATACCAAGGTCACCGGTCAAATGGAAAATCGGTCGATAGCGGTGTTGTTAAGCGCTGTCGTCGCCGGCATAGCTGTGATATACTTTCACTGGTCAAAAAGGTAAGTGCTACAGATACTCATGAATTATTTAACTACATGATTCATCATGTTGAAAAAGTTATACGTTACCTTTGAAACTTAGTTGACATTATATGTATGCATATCATAACGTTGCATAGTGAATAATCATCCCATAGTAGAGCATCTACTGTCCTTTGCATTAATATTGTATATGGAGGCTGTAGAATGCTGTTAGAAGATAATCGATTTTTGTACATAATCGCTTAATTAAGTTAGTTAAGCATCATACTTTTGCTGATATTAAAATTAGTGTAAATATATTAAATAATGTATATAAATATAATAATGTAATACAGATATATAAACATAATAATATGATAAATATAGATAAATATAATTATATAATGTAAATATATTAAACGTTATATATTATTATATAAATTATATATATATATATAATTAATGTATAAAATAGATATAATAAAATTAATGTAAATTCATAACCATTCTTGTTTTATCATTCTTCTTTATAAATGAATTAAATCATTTCGTAAATATTTCGTAAAAGAATTTAATAATAAATAATTTTTGAACGAAACGAGATAAGACAGCAAAACTAAGCTTAATTAGTTTTCATATTGCATGGTCAAAATTCTTATGCAAAAATCATACTTGTTACCAGCGTAATGCTTACTAGTTCTGCGTAAATGTTCAAATAATTACAATTTAACCATAATGTTTATGCTTGCATATTTATTCTGGATGGAGTATTTTTGTGTGATTTTATTTCTCTGGTTGTACTTGAGTTAAAAATCCGCGTTAGGGAAGTCACTGGCTTTTGTTTAACCAAATATTTTTCGTTTTTTCAAAATAATATGCATGAAAATATCATGCTCTTAAAGAAAATAAAAACCTTATTTTATGCATTGAAATCAGGCATATGTATGTTAATTTAATAAATTTATTTTATAAAAAGTCAATAAGACATATTTTTTTGCAGAAATAAATGTTGTTACTTTTACTTGCTTTAAAATTTAGTTAATCTAAGGTAGCAGCTTATTCTGAAACAAACCCTGATTTCGTAACTGTATAATTCTTGGACAGTTTTATCAAAATTAAAAATAAATCAGCTTTTGAAAGGTTTATAACATCAAAATGAAACTGGTTCTCATTATAAAATAACATATGTGTAATTAAATATTCCATACAATGTTTGCTTAAGTATACAAACAACTAAATGATTTAGAATATTATATGTAATAAAATAAAAATCTTCGGAGAATAAATAAAGAGCCCGTGAAGCGAAAAATTTCGTTTTAAAGACATTAAAGGGTAGAGGGTAAATTGAAAATGAAGGTTCTGTGAACTGATGTTTTGAATTATTTCGCTCAAAATATATTTAATTTAAGGGGCCAGGTACCCTTTGAGGGTGAAAAAATCAATTTTTTATTGTTTTATATGAAAGAGGTAACTAATAGCAACGTTTTAAAACAAATCGCATAAAAAAATTCCCACTAGAACGAAGGATATAGAGGAAAAATCGAAGCCCAATTTTCAAAAGTCAGGATCGAGGCGTTTGTTTGCCTTTTTGACAGCTGGATATTTATTTACAGCTGCGCTCGTGAAGAGTGGTGATAAATTCCGTTTATAAAAACAATCTAACATTTTTCGAACATTTTTTTCTTGTAATGGCTTGAAAATAGATGTATTTAATTATCACTGCTTTTTCTAGAAGAAGAAAGCAATATATTAACTTTAACTTTCATTCATTCAGTCAATTTGTTTTGCTTGCGAATTTTACAACGTGTTCTGTATTCTGTGAGAGATTTCTTGATATATTTTCCTTCATTTAATAATATAATTAAATATTTACATTGAAAATTCATTCCTAAGATTAGTATGAATAGGATAGAAGGTAGATTGAAAGTGCAAAGGAAATAAAACTTTCTAATAGACAGGTGGAAGATGAAACTAATGATGATTTTAAAGGTTTTAGGATCTTGGACATGAGTGTAATGATTTCGTTTTTCGAAAAGGAATTGTGCTTAAAAACATGTGGCAGTGATATCACTATCAAAGAAGTTGTGTGTGGACTAAGCTCTAAATTTTCTTAAAATTGTGGAAATTGTATAGAACTGCGTGCATTTAAAAGTTCAAAAATGATTGGTTAGAAGAACAACTGTGCTGACACTAGCATGCGTTATGTTTATGCCATGCGAACAATTGGAATGGGCTACTCGGCAATGAAACTATTTTGTGGTATCATGGATCTTCCACACCCAGTATCAAAAAAAGCATACAATACACAGTAAAGAAGTTTATGTCGTGCTCAAGTAGAGTGATACAAAAATCCACGAAAAATGCTGCTTGTGAAGAAGTTCAGCAAATGAGTTCTTCAAATGTTGTGGTTAGCGGCGATGGTTCATGGAAAACCAGGGGTCACACATCACGAATAGGTGTGCGTATCGTTATTGGAGACAAAAGTGGTAAGGTTATATACACAGAGGTTCTTTCATCTTTTTGTAAGGCATGGAATTCCATGAAAGGTACCAGATGAAACATGAGGCGGAAAGTCTTATGAATCCCAGTGGTCCTGCGGGTAAAATGGAGGTCGTCGATATGGTTCGAATTTTCCAGAGGTCAGAAGCGAAGCATGATGTGAAGTATGTTGGATACATAGGCGATGGAGATTCCAAGACTTTTCAATCTATAACGGAAGCCCAGCCCTATGGTTCTTATGTGTCCGTTTCTAAAATCGAATGTGTCGGTCATATTCAGAAGAGAATGGGAATGCGGCTCAGAAAATTGAAACTGAAAGTATTAAATGTGCAGATTGAAAATCTATTGGAGGAAAAGGTCGCTTGACTGATACACAAATTGACAAATTGACTGTTTACAATGGTAATGCGATTCGAGAACACAAAACTTCTTTGGCGGAAATGCGTAATGCTATATGGGCAATCTATTTTGACACACGGTCAATTGATGTGGAACCGCTGCATACTTTTTGTCCAATAGGTCCCAGTACTTGGTGTAAACACCAGAAAGCTGTAGCTAATGTAACTGTCAGTGCATTCAGACATAAACCAACACTTTTTTTTGTGTTATGGATGTTATTAAACCAATATTTAATGATTTATCGCAACCGACACTGTTGCGAAGATGTCTTGGCGGAAAGACACGAAACTGCAATGAATCTTTAAATAATTTGATTTGGAAATTGTGTCCCAAGACCCTTGGTTCAGGAAGAAGAATTGCTGAAATAGCAACGAGTGAGGCCACAATACTCTACAATGAAGGTAATCAGGGAAGATTAAAAGTTATGGCGGAACTTGGGCAGTCAGTTGGTTCGTCTAGTCGAGCATGCGTATGTAAATTAGACGAGCAACGAGAGAAAACTAGTGAATTATGCTTTTTTCAAACCACGAAAGAAATGCGTAATAAAAAAAGAAATAAACAAAAGGCTATTGCAGAGAACGTATTTTTACATGAAGGCAAAACATATTCACCTGGTGCATTACTTTTTTCTTGTTTTTGGAAACAAACTTATATTGTCCCTTTTTAAAACCTGTATTGTATAATTTTAGAGAATTTAAAGTAATTTTATTAAAATACCACTCAGTATGAAAAAAATTCATCTACAAATGTCTAGCCTGAAAAAAAAAGTGAATTCGTGTAAAAATTGTAAATTTTCTGGTCAGTGCGTTAAAGTTTTCGTTTCATATTTTCACGAGTTGTGTGAACTTATTTTCTTTTAGATGTTTTTATATTTAAGTATCCTTATATAAATAATTATATCATGTATTTGATTAATTATGAACACTTATTTTTCTTAAGTAATGCATATTTGTTTGATAAAAACATACTTTTATCTTTAAAGTCAATTTTCTCAAAACTATGATTTTACTCACTGCGCGCATCATTTCTTTGAAACAGCTAATCTAAAGTGCACCAAATTTTACATGGATATGTATATGCTAGATATGCTTAATATGACGAACCAAAATGGTTCTTATGTAAAAACTTTTAAAATTGTAGCTAGTTTATGCCTAAACAATTTGATAAAAATTTTAATTTTGTTTTTAAAAAACTATATTTGTAGGAAAGGAACATTTAAATAAAATAAATCTTCGTCATTTTAAAGATGCATTATTTTTCTATCATAGGAAAAAAATTGGGTTCCTCTTATTCTTTATAGAGTTGCAGTGCTGCGCGCAGTGAATTTCAAAATATTAGCTATAAAAATGTCTCTACGTTAAAATATTTATTTAAAAGTTTTACTAGTGCACATGACTTATTTAGTAACCTTAAACAAATAACTAAGGGTACACAATATGTGTTAGAAATTTCATTTTTATAGGACTATTAGTTTTGAAGATACATCACTTGTAATCTGAGTAAGTTTTTGACATATTTTACCATTCAAAAGGTACCTGACCCCTTAAACTAAGATAAAAGTTAAGAAGAAAGGTTAGAATTAATACTGGTTTATAAAATGAATATATAATATGATATTTAATGCAACAGACATATACCAATTTAGCTTTCCTTTCGAATTGTGCCTTTTTCCCCCTTTGAATGTATTACATAACCAGCTTAGTGAACAGCTAAAAGTATTATTTAACTAGTTGCTCAACGAAGTACTATTAAATTAGTTCGAAACTTAGAAGCATCCTTTAAATATTTGAAGTATTGGAAAAATTTCTTAATGAAAAATGCCACAGGAAAAAAAAATGTTATGTTGCACGAATGCGATGTTTATTTCGGAAAAAAAAAATGATTTAACTAAATATATCAGCACTTCATCGAAATTGAAATAGTTGAATAGCGGATGTGTGTTCTGGAGAAATTTACTTAGGAAGTTTTACTCGAAGGTAGGCGCGTTTATAAGACGTAAAGTAATTATAAGTAATAATCGAACTTGGTTATAACTAACCACAAAATAATTAATAAAATTATAAAATTTCTTCGTTAAATCTATTACCCACAGCAGTTGTGATGAATTGATCTATTACTATTGCTTATCTTTCAGTATCTCC